TATTATGGTAAATGACAATCTCAGTGTGAGCTAATAAGATTATCAATTTTGGGACCTTCCTGGTGGCCCAGGGGTTAATGTCTCAGTGCTGCCAGCCACTGCTGCATGAATTCAATCCCCTGCCAGAGAGCTACGCACATGGTGCAACCGACCTCCACTATCACTCCCTCTGCTCGTCTCAGCGATGTATTTTAGTAGATCACCTGTTCTGCTTCCCACTCTGTTGCTGGTGAATCTTCTCACCCCCTGCCCACACCTCTGGCCTAGACCCCAGTTCTTGTATGCATTAATAAAAAAAAAAAATCTTTGGGGAAAAAAAAGATAATCGATTTTGTTAATATCCTAAAATTTGGATGATGAAATTATTGGAATTTAAAGTAGTAGTGCTGTAGCTTGGGGTTTAGAGGAATAAAGTAGGATACTTGTTACTTTGTACCTAACCTGAGAAAATTTGGGGAGATAAGTTGGTGTCCAGGAACACTTAGTCTCTTAATGGGAAAAATGCTATTTAGGAATGAGTGTGTGTTCTAGAATAGGCAGTTTTGTATAATGGAAAACACAGTGGATCAACAGGCTTCCACCTACTCTAGCATCTTGACTGGATTATCTGACCTTTTATGAGTCACTGTTATTTCTTTAAATCTCAGACTCAGAACTGTAAAATAGTTAATTACCTACTCCACAGGGTCATGATGGAGATTAAATGAGAAAACCCCAAGCATGGTGGTTGGCACATAGTATGTACTATTTTTTTTTTCTTATGTTCCTAAAACTTACTGAATTGATAACACTTATTGCATAAATAAATAAATATTAAAACGAAAGACTAAACGTGCTCAAAAAACAAATACAATTACACCTTAAAATAAAGCTGAAAGAATTTATTTAATATCAAGGTAGCAAGTAATTAAAGGCTAAAATCTTTATTTTTTTTATTAAAGATTTATTTATTTATTTATATAAGCACTGGGTACAGTCAGAAACGCAGGAGGGTGAGAGAATTCACCAGAGCCAGAGGGGAGGGCAGAGCAGGCAGACTGACTAAATAACACTACTGAGGGGAGCAGCGGGCAGCAGGAGAGGTCTGCGCACCATGTGGGACCCTCGCCTGGAGGCTGGGGATTGAACTGGCGCTGCAGAGGCTGCGGGCAGTTCGCAACCCAGCGCTCAACCGCTGTGCCACCAGGGATACCCAGATCTTTCTATTTATTCATATAAGAACTGGGGTGTAGGCCAGAGGTGCCAGGGGTGAGAGGATTCACCAGAGACAGGGGGAGCAGAACAGGCAGATTGACTGAAACACACTGCTGAGGGGAGCAGCGGATGAGACAGGAGAGATCTGTTGCGCCATGTGGGTTAGCTCTCACATGCTCCCTCATGCTGCAGTGGCTGCGGATAGCTTCATAGTACTGCATCTCAACTCCTTGTGCCACCAGGGAGGTTCTGGAAAAACCAGTTTTTGAGGGAAGTTCAGTCTAATTTTAAATTTGTTTGAGAGAAGGAATCATTTAACTTGACTTGTCAAATATTTAGCTAGGATTCAGAGTTTGAGTTTCTTTACATAGCACTGATATTGAAACCATGAATATGGTTGAGATCAAGAAATTATACAGGTAATAAGTGGCAAAATTGAGATTTAAGTCCAAAGGTCTGCTTTAGGGTTCATATTCTTTTTTTTTTATTTTTTTTTTAAAAGATGTTTTTTTTTTTTTTTTTTTTTGCATACAAGAGCTGGGGTACAGGCCAGAGATGTTTCAGATGTTTCTCTGTTACAGCAGAGAGGTTTCACCAGAGACAGAGTGGGGAACAGAACAGGCAGATTGACTGAAGTACACTGCTGAGGGGAGCAGCGGGCGACTCAGGAGAGGTCTGCTGTGCTATGTGGGTTGCTCCCTGGCCGGCCCGGGATCGAACTCATGCTGCAGAGGCTGTGGATTGCTTCACAATGTGGTGCTTAATCCCTTGCGCCACCTGGGAGGCCCCATATTCTTTTTTTTTTTTTTTTTTAAAGATTATTTCTGCATACAAGAGCTGGGGTGCAGGCCAGAGGTGCGGGTGCTGAGAGGACTTACCAGAGACAGAGTGGGGAGCAGAACAGGCAGATCCACTGAAATCCACTGCTGAGGAGAGCAGCAGGTGAGATCTGATGTGCCATGTGGGTCAGCTCCCTGGCAGAGATCAAATTTGTGTTGCAGTGGCTGCCCATAGCTTCATAGTGCTGAGACTTAACCCCTTATGCCCCCTGGGTCGCCCCAGAGATCATATTTTTAACCCCTGGCTATCAATATAATGAAAGAAATCCTTTATTCACAAACATGTCATAAACATGTGTTTGGTCTTCTCATTTTCCAAGTTACTTCTTTTGTTCTTTTGCCATTTATGTTTTACCCTTTTCTGCATAAACTTTCATTTAATCTTAATTAGTACAACTTGAGCTTTGAAGGCAGACATTCTTGGTTTGGAGCTCTGCCATTTGTATTTATCTGAAGATTCCTTTGTTAATCACCAAATCCAGTGACCTTTTTTTTCTAATTTTCTTTGGTGTGTATCCAGCAAATAGTTCTTACTGAAATCTAGGTTCCATCTCCAATAATAATTTACCACTCAGCTTTTTTGTTTGTTTTACCTTTTACATAGCTTTGAACTCTGATTTTTCTCTCCACTTCAGTTACTCTTGATTTTGTTCTTTTTCTCCTCTTCTCTCTTCAGGGACTTAGTTGAGGCCCTTTTTGTTTTTCTCTTCAACTTTGTAATAGCTTCCTGTCTCCCGTGTCTAGTCTTGTCCTTTCTAGTCCAATTTCCCCTTCTAACCCAGTGGTAGTCTCTGAAAATATAGCTCTTATATTTCACTGCTTAAAAACTTGTCAGTGGTTTTCCATTTTCAGCAGTATTATCCCTTAACAATTTTCTTTAGGATATTTCTCTATGGAAAAAGGTAAAACGAGTTTGGGAAATGCTTGTATAAATGCATTTAGCCAGCTTTCTTTTTTGTAGTCTCTTGGTGTGCTAATGTGTATTGTGAATGTACACAGGGGTTACAGAGCAAATGCAGTATTTCTCAAATATATAGTAGCAGTCTCTTATCTGAGGGCAGAATGTCCCAAGACCTCCAGTGAGTCTGAAATTGTGACCGGTACCAAGCCCTATCTAGTAAGTCCTTTCCTAACATTGTCAAATTTTCTTGGAAACTGTGACTTAATGTGAAATGACATGTATAATGGAAGCAGGCCCTCGAATAATGTCATTCAGTGTTGACTGGGGTTATTTTTTCTGCATCAGTGTTACAACTAAATGATGTTAAATGAAATAATGTTATTTGAGGCCCTGTTTTTTCCTATGGACCTATGATAAAATTTAACTTATGTAAGGCACAGTAAGAGATTAACAACAATAATAAAATAGAATAATTTTAACATTGTGATAAAAGTTGTATGAATGTGGCCTTTCAGAATATCTTACTGATTATAATATTTTCAGGCCATGGTTGACTGCCCGTAAGTGAAACCAGAGAAAGCAGAAGCACAGTTAAGGGGAAGGTACTATATCTGATTATAGTATACATTAACAAAATACATGTCTAGTGTTTCAGAATATGTTTTATTAAAACCCACAAGAATAAATTCCATACTTTAGGATATTGAATTCTAGGACATTTTTGATTCATTTAATCTCTTCCTATACTTGTAGTCTTATCTCTGGCATTGACCATACCAACATGGAGTTCCCCATTGGGTAGAAGTCATGTGTTTCAGCCTTCAGTGGCTTCACCACCTGTCAGGAAAACCCCCTACTACGCCTAGAGGTGTGGTCATCACTGTTTGTCTGCAGCATTCTTTGATTCATTCAAGAAGACTTTACACTTCTTTTCTTAGTACTCTTTTTAGAGTATACTTGGCAAGAACCTCCATTTTAACCCTTTGCACTCCGAACCATTTTACGATATTTTGATTTAATTTCTTGTGCCATTTCAAGATAAAACTTCAGGGAAACATTCATGTCTCAAAAAGTTGCGTTGTGGGCCTCCCCGGTGGCTCAGCGGTTGAGCGCTGGGTTGCGAAGCTGCCCGCGGCCTCTGCGGCACCGGTTCGATCCCCGGCTGCTCCCAGGCCACCGGAGGAGGGTCCCACATGGCGCACAGACCTCTCCTGCCGCCCGCTGCTCCCCTCAGCAGTGTACTTCGCTCCTTCTGTCTGCTCTGCTCCCCACTCTGGCTCTGGTGAATTCTCTCACCCTCCCGCGCTTCTGACTGTACCCAGTGCATGTATAAACAAAAAACAAACAAATAAATAAATAAAATAAAAATATGCCTCTATAAAAAAAATAAAATTAAAAAAAAAAGAAAAAAAGTTGCGTTGAAATAACCTCAATTCCCTGTAATCACTAATAAATTGCAATGTCCCCTGAGAGGGGACAGTGGAGTGCAAAGAGTTAACTGTTATCACGTTACTGTAACTGCCTTTGCATTTTTATTTCTGCAGGAGACTGTCAGCTCCTTGAATACTGGACTGATTTCATTTATATGACTTTAGCATCTGGGACAATTTTTGGATATAGGTTAAACTTTTGAGTTATAAAATAATTATAGGAACATGTCAGATAATGTTGGAATTTATGCATATAGTTAAGTAAGCCACCAGTAAACATTTCTTTTATCTCATCTTAGACCTCTCTTAGATTTTTATAATTAGTAGGTAAAGTGGCATCAAATAAAATGCCATAAGAAATTTTTATAGGGGAAAATGTCTTTAAAAATATAATTAATTATAAATTTTTCTTTATTTTTTGTAATTATTCATAAGACAGGTATCTTTTTTCTTAGATTAGGTAAGTAATATTCTGTGTTCAGTGAAAATAGTTGTAATTAATAAAAACTTAGTAATTGCTTTTTCTTCCAGATAATTTGAGTTTCATATTGAGGTGACGCATTCGTTTATAGTATTTAGGGTAAGAAATGTTACTTTATATGAAGCATTGTTTAATGTATATCTTTCTTTTCTTAGGCATCATTCCTAACAAAGAAGTTAAATATTGGTGGGAAAAGAGTAAACCTTGCTATATGGGTAAGTTATTATTTTCAGTTGTGTGGGTAAAAGCCCTTGCTTGTTCTTAATATCCAATAATTAATTGGTTCAAGGGATATAAATTTAAACTTCTCAATTTTTTTTTTTTTAGTTAACTGAAAGTTGCCAAACCTTTTGTTAATAAATTGTTTTTCTAAAATCTGGCTAAGAATTATACCTTGAATACAAGCGTACACATGTATATTGCTCTAACTTTTAAGCTGGAGATAAGAATTATATTTTTGAATGTAATTGTGTTATACATGAATTTTTCAACTCTGAGGGATTCCACATCAGAGAAAGGACAGGGTGGGTGGACAGGCTGCCTCACCTTTCTTCCTTGTGTCTTCATGTTCTATCCTCCTAAGGGAATACATTCTCTCTTTTCTCCATCCTTGGAGAACCTGAATTTTAGGCAAGGCTGATTCCTACATCATAATCCATATAATGGCCTTTTTGACCCTCTGGCAACTGAATTGCTTTTTTGGTTGGTGTGGGGAAATTGCTGAGGGGAAGAGGGGATGGAAGAAGAGCAGTAATTTTTTATATCAGTAAAACATTAAGTATTGTATATAATTTGACTGAAAAAATTTATAACCTGTTTTGTTTCTTCAGTGTTTTGGGGTTGTGACTTCATGTTCTACTTACCAATTAATAAGTTTACTGTAGTTGCTACAGCAGATGTATGTATTTTTTCTTCTGATCTAATAAACATTTTGTTTCTTTATTTAGGATACAGCAGGTCAAGAGAGATTCCATGCTTTGGGTCCAATTTACTACAGAGATTCAAATGGAGCCATTTTAGTTTATGATATAACAGATGAAGATTCTTTTCAGAAGGTATTCTGTTTACTTATGGGTAGATAACTTAGTAGAAGGAAAATACTGATTTTTCAAGTTTCCATTAACATACCTTTTTGTTTACTTATGTGATTAATCTTGGTTTTAAAGGTATACAGTTTGTGCATAAGTGGCGACCACTTATATATTTTAATTGTGTATTTAATTTATATTAATATGACTATCAGAGTTTTTAATAGTTTATTACATGACTTTCTCAAACATTAGGAAAGAGAAATAATCTGAAGTGAAGCTTCAGAAAAGCATAGTTTTTTTCCTTCCTATTAAAAACAAAATCACATACTTTTCTTTGATTCCGTGTACAGTTGGACAATTCTTGTTGTGATTGCACAAACCTTTATTGTAAACAGGAAAAAGAACTAAATCAAGTTTAACCTCTTTCTCATCACAGTTATCCTGGAGGGTAGACTATACATTTTATTATTTTTTAAAAGATTTATTTATTTATGCATACAAGAACTGGGGTACAGGCCAGAGGTGCAGGGGGTAAGGGGATTCACCAGAGACAAAGTAGGGAGCAGAACAGGTGGATCTACTGAAATACACTTCCAAGGGGAGCAGCGGGCAAGACTGAAGAGGTCTGCTGTGCCATGTGGGTCACTTCCCTGACTAGCCAGGGAATTGAACTTATGCTGCAGTGGCTGGTAATAGCTTGATAGCTCTATCTTTAGCCCCTGTGCCACCAGGGAGACCCCAAACTCTACAGTTTAAGAGGACAATTTAGGTAGTGCTTTTTTTTTTTTTTTAAAGATTTTTTTTTATTTATTTTTGTATATAAGAACTGGGGTGTATTCCAGAGGTGCAGGGGTTAAGAGGATTCGCTGGAGACAAAGTGGGGCAAGAACAGGCAGATCTACTGAAATACACTGTTGAGGGAAGTAGCAAGAGAGACAGGAGAGGTCTGCTGCACCATGGGGTTTAGCTCCCTGCCAGGGATCAAACTCATGCCACAGTGGCTAGCTGGCTGGCTGTAGCTTGATAGTGCTGAGACTTTAACCCCTTCGCCACCAAGGATGACCCTAGTGTTTATTTTAAAGCTCCTTTTTTGTTACCCCCTCTTGAAGCATATACAGTAAATGTAGATTTTTAAAATTGTTTGGGCTCTTGCTGACACCATGGTCCACTTCCTCTTTGGATTTGCTTTGCGGCAGTGTATTAGGGAGGTATCTGGCTCAGAACTGTGACATACCAAACCTGACTGAAAATCTTGAAGATATTATAAAGGACTTGGATGCCAAGAAGAAACCCTGTAGATCTGGAGGTCAACCCCAGCACTGCCTTCTCAATACACTGATTCTGCTGCAGTGAAGGGCCACCTTTACTATCTGAACCAAAATCTTTTAACTTACTGTCTCAGTGATTATTTTCTTTGCTAAGCCCTGCGTTGTCTTAATGGACAGATAGGGTTTCATGTTCAGAATAGCTCTGACTTTTGCAGTACCATTGCCTTTTCCCATCCTCCTTCCAGCCACATAGGGGCTTCTAAGAATGGAGTTTTGGTGTTCGATTAGTAATCGTGGCCTTTATTTAGTTGTTGCTCCCTTATTCTTTGAGATTTCTTTTACCTGTTTTTAAAAAAAGAATGAGTTTTGTGCAACTGATCAGGTAGACATTATACTGATTTCATAGTTTAGCAATTATGATGGCATTTAAACCTTTTACACTAAATTATGTTATTTCAGTATAATTAAAATTAAAATTTAGAAGCGAAAATAAGTTATTTGGAACAGAAAAGTGAGTAACCATTAAATTTTCTCTGAATTCTCATCAGAATCAGGATGGATTACTTATTTGACCCTTTCTTTGAAAACTCTTGAAATAAATACGTCAAGAATATGTATAAAGGGGGTAATTTCGAGTCAGAAACTTTCTTGCTTTGAGTTACAGGTTTGTTATTGTTTAAATTGTTTGTCTTTTCAATTTTTTCCCTTTATTTCCCAATATTTAACTGATGAATCATATATATATATATATATATATATATATATGGATCATTAATGGCATGTGGAAATGCTTTCTATGAGCAGTAGAACAACAGAAATAGAAATGATAGGTAATTTACAGATTCAGTTTTTTTTTTTTTGTTATACTGGGGCTGCCTTTTGGCATAAAAAGAAATGGTTCAAGTATTTTATTAAGAGAAAGTTGAGTCTTTTAGCTATCTAAATGCCCATTTATCTCTTGTGCAACAAACCTCTCAAAATTTGGTGACTTAAAACAAAGTGTTATTTTTTATGATTTTGTGGATTGAGTGGGCAGGTCATCTACTCCATGTGGAATCACTCACACAGTGGCATTGAACTGCAAGTTTGACTAGACTGGGACATTACAAGAAGGCCTGGTTCTCCATATGGCCTCTGCATCTGGTGTCTCATCCTCTAGTACTTTTTTGCACATACTTTGTCATTATTCTGTATTCTGTCCTAAGTCTTTATTTACTTTTTTTTTTTTTTGGTGTAGAACTGAGGTGTAGGCCAGAGGTACGGGACGGGGTGGGGGTTGCAGTAGAGAATTCAACAGAGACAGAGTAGGGAGAAGAACAGGAGGACCTACTGAAATACATTGCATAGGGAGCAGCAGGCGAGACAGGCGAGGTCTGGCGCACCATATATGGGTTAGTTCCCTGGCTGGGGATTGAACTCAGGCCATAGCAGTGATAGCACTGAGATTTAACTCCTAGGCCACCAGGGAGGCCCTCTGCCCTAAGCTGCTTCTATGACAACCGCATACCAAGAGTATAGCTGCCTTCTTAAGGCTTACCTCTGGAACAAACATAGTATTAACTTCTGCCACATTCTTTGGTCAAAGCAACTTACAAGTCTTGTCCAGATCCAAAGAGAAAATAGACTAACTGTCCATGGGAAGATTGGCAAAGAATTTGTGATTATCCTTCATTCAGCACGGAATATATGGGGGTAATTATTATGATGTCTGTGGAAGGGGATCTGATTGGAGATGAATAATACACTTTTTAAAAACTTATTAGATTCAGTTGGTTATGGTGCTATATGTGCAGGGAGTAGAGCAATTCATTATTGAATTCTGGCATGTTTGAGGTGATAAAGATACATACTTTATACCAGTACTCTTTTCTTTTCTTTTTAAAGATTAATTTATTTATTTATATAAGCACTGGGTACAGTCAGAAGCGTGGGAGGGTGAGAGAATTCACCAGAGCGGGGAACATAATAGGCAGACTGACGAAGTACACTGCTGAGGGGAGCAGCAGGTGGCAGGAGAGGTCTGCGCACCATGTGGGACCCTCGCCTGGAGGCTGGGGATTGAACTGGCGCTGCAGAGGCTGCGGGCAGCTTCGCAGCCCAGTGCTCAACCACTGCGCCACCAGGGGAGGCCCTCACATTTTTCTTAATATAAGTCACCTAAAGTAGAAGTTAAACTTTATACATATATATGAATGAAACAAAAAGATGGCGTTATTACAGAGATACAGTATTGCTAATTGATAACCTTTATTTTTATAAAGATTTTTGTTTCACTAAAGACAGTTCCTCTGCATTTTTTTTTTTTTTTTTTTGTTAAAAGATTTATTTATTTATTTTATTTTTTATATGAGCACTGGGTACAGTCAGAAGTGCGGGAAGGTGAGAGAATTCACCAGAGCCAGAGCAGGGAGCAGAGCAGGCAGAAGGACCGAAGTACACCGCTGAGGGGAGCAGCGGGCGGCAGGAGAGGTCTGCCGCCATGCGGGACCCTCCTCCGGTGGCCGGGGAGCAGCCAGGGATCGAACCGGCGCTGCAGAGGCTGTGGGAAGCTTCGCAACCCAGCGCTCAACCACCGCGCCGCTGGGGAGGCCCAGTTCCTCTGCATTTTTGAAGAGAACAGAAGGGTGAAAATGTTACATTTGTACCATGGGACCAGGTGCACAATAGGTGCTTGCCACATGTCTAAATTAATTTTTGTAATTTATAGGTTTGTTTTTTTTTTTTTTTTTTTGGCAAAGTGGGGGGAGGACAGTTGTTAGGTTCTTTGTGATTTAATTACACACAGATTAAATTCCATTACAAAAAAAATGAGAAGTATCCTGCTTCTTTATTTTGTTCTTGTGGTCAACATATTTGAAACCATGAGTTCAAAAGATTGATTTACTTAACTCCAGTTTACTCCCATCTGTGCCTGCTGCCATGCTTCTTCCACAATAAAGAACCAGTTTGTTACTGGAGTCATTGTATACTGGTGGTTCTTCACCAGGGGGTGGCAATATCTGGAGGTGACCACTTGCTTGTCATAACTGGAGGGTGCTATTGGTATCTAGTGATCAGGAGACGGGGATGCTGCTAACCATAACTGTATTGTGGAGGACAGTCCCTCATAACAGGAATTATCTGAGCAAAAATATCATTAGTGCCAAGGTTAAAAAATCTTACAATTGGGGCCTCCCTGGTGGCGCAGCGGTTGAGCGGTGGGCTGCGAAGCTGCCCACAGCCTCTGCAGCGCCGGTTCAATCCCCGGCCACCGACGAGGGTCCCACATGGCGCACAGACCTCTCCCTCCCCCCGCTGCTCCCCTCAGCAGTGTACTTCGTCAGTCTGCCTGTTCTGCTCCCCACCCTGGCTATGGTGAATTCTCTCACTTTCCTGCGCTTCCGACTGTACCCAGTGCTTGTATAAATAAATAAATAAAAATCTTAAAAAAAAAAAAAAACACAAAAATAACTTACACTAAAGGATGAGAATTTTGCTACTCTTTTTTGTTTGTTTGTTTTTGGGTATCTATATACATTTTTTTTTAAAGCGTGTGACCAGAAACTCCTGTATCTTGCTTAGGAACAAAGGATACAAGTAACCACCTGTTCCTAAGTCCAAAGTGACTATACAAGTTCCTCCTATCAGAGGCTAGAATTGACATGCCTTTGCTTTGATGAACAACTTTGCTTGAATCTATGGAAGATATATGGAAATTTGTGGTTAGAAGTGCTTCTGTCTCCACTTACATGTAGATGCATATAGAGAAATATTTTCCCATTGTTTGTATGTGTGGTGTGCAGTATAATTAGTATTAAATAACATGATCTCCTACAGTGAATCATTTCTATTAGCAACTAAATAATGTGTTTTGATAGACAAAATTTGGAGCTATTTTTATAATTTAAGTTTTGCAGTGTTGTAATGATAGTCTTTAAAACAGAATTTGTTTTAATATTTACTCTTTTGCATACAGGTAAAAAACTGGGTCAAAGAATTACGGAAAATGTTGGGAAATGAAATCTGTTTATGTATAGTTGGTAAGCATTTTTTTAAAAATGCCCTTTGTTTCTATAATGTTTTTCTATTAAAGAATAATAAATTGGTAATTATGTAAAAGCTTCATGAAAGAAGAATGGCATTTTAATACTAATATTTTTAGAATAACTTAGGATTTGGAAGTGATCTTTCAGGGTAATTTCTGTACTTTAAGAAAAACCTTGGCGGGCAAATGGGAAGCCAAACTTCTGGCTTCTAGTCTTCCACACTTACTTTAATTTGACCTTTAGTTTTTACCATGAGATTTTATTTAGAAAAAAAGAGTTCAGGAACTACTTTATTTTTTTCCTTTTTTTTTTTAATTTAAATTTTATTTTATATTCCCCATACAATTACAACCCCCTTATTTTGACCCCAATCCCTCCTTTCCCCGCCCCCCACCCCCCATAGAGTGTCTCTGGTTCATAGTTGTTTGTTGATTTTGATTTTTTTCTTTCTTGTAGTTATTCTTTTTTCTGGTTCCTTATTTAAGTTTTCTAGATTCCTGCTATGAGTGAGACCATCCAGTATTTTTCTTTTTCTTTCTGGCTTATTTCGCTGAGCATGATCCCTTCCAGCTCCATCCATGTTGCTGCAAATTGCATGTGTTTATCTTTTTTGAATGCTGAGTAATGTTCCATGGTGTATATGTACCACATCTTCTTGATCCAGTCATCTGTTTTTGGGCATTTGGGTTGTTTCCAAAGCTTAGCTATTGTAAACAGTGCTGCTATAAACATAGGGGTGCAGGTTCTCTTTGGAATTGAGGTTTCTGTGTCCTTTGGGTAGATACCTAGGAGTGGAATTGCTGGATCATATGGAAGCTCAATGTTTAGTAGGCCAAGAAATCTCCACACAGCTCTCCATGGTGGTTGGACCAGTTTGCACTCCCACCAACAGTGCAGGAGAGTCAGGAACTACTTTAAAACAGAGTTTTTTTTTTAAAAAAGGCAATGACATAAGCTAGTTTTTGCTCTATACATTTAATTTTACACATTTTTGAGTTGAGGGAAAATTTGACTCCAAGAATACAAACAGGTCATGATATGTGGAGGTATATTGGTGGAACAATATGCTTAAGGTTTTATAAAAGAACGGTAGAACTCACTCTTGGACTTCTGTAATTTCTCTTGGGTTACCTTTTTCTTTATAGTATTATTTCTTTGATAGAAAATGAATTACAGAACTCTAAATTATACTAGACACGGCTTTGTATTTATAGACGTTACCTCATGTAATCTTTGTAATGATAAGACCTTTGTAGAGGAAACTGAGCTTGAAGATACAATACTTGCCCCACACCAGGCAGTTACCAAAACTGGGATTTGAATTGAAAAAGTCATTTTAATTTCTATGTGGAGGTTATTATTTCTTACGATAAATAAAGCTAATGCTTTGTTCCTTCTTTCTTTCTGTGAGACTGACAGTAAATACACTTATGAATAGTAAAACTGTATACTCTCCAGGTTCATATTGTAAGTTTATGAATATTGGATCTGCTAGTGTACTGGCTGAGTAGGTCAGGTATTTCTCATCAAGTGTTATGTAATGTTTATTAATGAATGGTATGACATATGAAAGACTGTCTCTATTCTACCGCAGCTGTGATTTGGAATTTTAGTTAGATTTGTAATAATTTTTGAGGGCCTATTTGCTACAAAAATGAAAATTGTTTCATGTTAGAAGCCCCATCTGTGCTTCTCTCTCATCCCAACATTATCCCATTTATTGAATGTCAAGTGCTCATCTAAGAACTACACATTTATTACTTCATTTAAGCCTCTTGACAACACTGCATTTACATTGAGCTTGACACTTTCCAAATTACATAGCTAGTTATGGTAGGTCTGGTTTAACTAAGGCCTCTCTCCTGCTTCAAGCCCATATCTTCAACTAGTACTCTGTGTTACTTAATATGCACCAGACTGGGAATAGTGGCATAAATAAGTAAACAAAATAGATATGATCTTTATTTCTCAGAGCTTATTGGGAGAAAAAATAAACTTGCTGTATCATATGATAAATCCTATACAGGTGGAAGTACAGAATGGGTGATAGCACAAAAAGTAAGCCTTACTAAATTTGGAGGGTGAATAAGAGATTTCTTAGAGTGTTGGATAAATTAGCTAGATGAAGCCAGCATTATGGTAGTGAAAAGTGTATTATCTGTCATGGGCTTTAATTTTCTCATAAAATAATTGATTTTTCACATGATAATTTACTGAATATCAATGATTATGGCTGATAATAGTAACTATTCTATGTTGAGTATGTCCTATATATTTTCCCTTTACATATGTTTTCACATTAATCCTGCAGGCTTTGTTAACTGCATTTGTAAAAAGTTACACTAAAGGAGACTAGATAATTCCATATTTTTATGAAGTGAGCCAAGACTTAAACACAACTTTTATCAGCTTTAAAAGCCTTTTGAGGGTTCTCTCCATTAGGCCACATACTCTCCAGTCTAAGGAGAATGTGGTTCTAGCTCTTTATTGCTATGAGACCATCAGTAGTACTTTGATGGTTTGCTTTCAGATGTTTTATTCCTGTTAGAAAGTTTCTAATGCAGTTGCACAGTAGTATTCAAACAGATAAAAGCTTCCAAGTTTAGTCCTTTAGTTGTCTTGCTTTTAAAAGAATATAGGAGCTAAAAAATTTTTGAGTTTTGGAAAGATGTTACTTATTAACAGGTAGCTTTCTGTGACTTTGTGCTGTCACTCCATTGTGAACATTGATTGCTCAAAGAAATAGTGGAGGGATTAAAGTTTGTTTTTTTTTTTACAGATTTATTTTTATTTATTTATGCATATAAGAACTGAGGTATAGACCAGAGGTGCAGGGGGTGAGAGAACTCACCAGAGACAGAATGGGGAACAGAACAGGCAGATCTACAGAAATGCACTGCTGATGCGAGGGGTGAGCGAGACGGGAGAGGTCTGCTGTGCCATGTGGGTCAGCATCCTGGCTGGGGATTGAACTCATGCCAGTTCAGTGGAACATCAGACACATACCACAATGGCTGAAGATAGCTTGCTAGTACTGAGACTTTAACCCTTGTGCCATAAGGGAGGCCCCAAACGTTAAAGTTTTGAAGTCTAAAATAATTGGGTTATTAAAACAGTTATTTAATGGTAACTGGGTTTATTAAAATTAGTAAAGTCTAAAGTGTTATTAAATAATAAAGCAAAGTCCACTATATATATTATTTGAGAATAATTTCTCTTAAATAGTCATTTAAAATGTCTGATTTTGGTAAAATTTGAAAAAAAAAAAACACTGAAGATCAGAAAAAAAAATTCATAGGGATTTAGTTAACTGGAGCAAAAATTTCTTTGCTAGCTAAAGAAAACAATCCTGTTTTATCTTTCTATGTGGCAGAATGTTGTGTCTACTTTGAACTACCAGCCACTAGATGGTGCTTTGTGCATTCTTTGTAGCATAAAGCAACTTGTTTTCCTCTGGTGTTCCTCTGGTGACTGTCAGATATATTGGCTGTAATATTTAGCAAATGGAAATTTTTATTGACAAATTATAATGTAGAAAATAAGAAGTAATAGGTGTCTTCTTACTGAGGTAAACAGGTAACTGTTCAAAGAAGAAAGAGTTCATTAACGAATTTGTTCATACCCATTGAACTTTTCTTGAGTAATATTCTCCCTCTCCTGCCTTCCCTCTCTCCCTCTTAGGCTGTGGTGTCAGATAGTTGCTTGCATCTGCTCATAATTAGGTGCTCAGATTACTGGATGTTCTCCACATACAGAACCTCTGAGCTTATCCCTTTCAGTTCTAAGCATGACATCTCAAGGTGCTTCATCCAAAATTGTCTTGTAGGTGCCCTAAGGCCCCAGGTAAAAAAATGACCTACATGCAAGGTTTCTTTCCTCTCCTACCCTCCCCCTCCATAGTGGTAGTAGAAGAAAGGAAGATACTTGAAGTGATCTTCCTCAGGATATTTTTCCCATTCCTATCCATTATTTCCATTACCTTTACTACGTTGTACATCAAAAATCTCCCCTTAATCTCTATCTTGTATTCACTAAAGAATTTGCAGTTGCAGTTTCTTCACTTCAGTGTTTTTTTTATCATAATCTCAGTTTGGTTTCATTGCTTAAAAACAGGAGAGAGAAACTTATTTTCCGTAACGTTAAATTGCATGCATTATAAGTTCTTCTGTGTTTTTAACACAAATAGTACAGTTTCCCGTTCTGGTGGTGAAATGCTTAAAAAGCCATGCAATTTAATTCTTTCTCTAACCAGCTTATACCATCTAGGAAACCAAGATAGTCTTTGGACCTAAGAAGCTAGCCTAATACATCTTTGTGAAAAATAAAATTGCTTTGCTTATGATTGACTATAAGTTGGTTGAGGACCTTTTACACTTGGCTACGAATCATAAGTTTATCTCTAGGTTCTAGTTAATCTTGTTTCATATTATACCCAAATCAAAGAATAGCGCTTGTCTCATTGGAAAGTTATTCTTTCTGACAGAGACTACAGCTTCAGGAAGAATACTCATTATGCTATTTGAGGGATTATACTATTTTAGGAGTTAGTTAACTTTATAGTTTCAGGACATTTTTAAATCTAATGGGGAGGTAAACAGGTAAAGCAAATATTTTTCTAGGTGATTAAAGCCATAGTTATATATTTAGAATTGGCCTAATTTAATTATAAAATGAATCAGTACTAAAGATTGGCATTTACTTTTTCAAATTAGGTAATAAAATAGACTTGGAAAAGGAGAGACATGTTTCCATTCAAGAAGCAGAATCGTAAGTGTGTTATCCTCTTCCCTTTTCCCTTATCACTCCCCATTGGAAGTCTTTTTTTGCAGTGTGCTTTCAGTAAAATCTGAGTGATGCAAAAGAAAACTCTGTTGTGAATCACAAAAACTTTGAAGTATTTGAGTTCCAAATTAATTTATAAAATCTTCATGTCTTATTAGATGTGTGTTCTTGTTTAAAATTGAGTTTAATATATAGAAATATTAAATGACTATATAATCTTAATTTCACTAAATCTGGGTTAATTAGTAATTTAAGTTACTCAAACTGCTGTTGTGAAAAAATTCAAATAGCACTCTTGATAAAACAAAAAAGCTTTATTTCTTAACATCAATCTCTTATGCCACTTTTTTTTTTGAAGATATGCAGAATCTGTGGGAGCAAAGCATTATCATACTTCAGCCAAACAGAACAAAGGAATTGAGGAACTCTTTCTTGACCTTTGCAAAAGTAAGTATGTTCAGAATTAGTATGAGTATATTAGTAAGAGTATGTTAGGCTTTTTTAATATAGAATATTGGTGTTTTTTTAAGTGATGCTTTACTATCTACATTAATGTCCACATTGATGATTTGTCACATCTGCCAGTACTGTTACTTATTTAATATTTTTAACTCATCTCTTTTAAAAGATTTGTTTATTTATGCATACAAGAGCTGGGTTACAGGTCAGAGGTGTGGGAGGGGTGAGAGAATTCACCAGAGACAGAGTGGGGAACAGAACAGGCAGATTGTCTGAAGTACACTGTTGAGTGGAGCAGCGGGGCAAGTCAGGAGAGGTCTGCTGCGCCATGTGGGTTGTTCCCTGGCTTGCCGGGAATTGAACTTGTGCTGTGGTGGCTGCAGATAGCTTCATAGGTTGTGTCTTAACCTTTGTGCCACCAGGGAGGCCCTATTTTTAACTCCTTTTTTTTTTTTTTTTTTTAAAGATTTATTTGTTTATACAAGCACTGGGTACAGTCAGAAGCGTGGGAGGGTGAGAGAACTCACCAGAGCCAGAGCGGGGAACAGAACAGGCAGACTGATGAAACACACTGCTGAGGGGAGCAGTGGGCAGCAGGAGAGGTCTGCGCGCCATGTGGGACCCTCACCCAGTGACCGGGGATCGAACTGGCGCTGCAGAGCCTGTGGGCAGCTTTGCAGCCCAGCACTCAACCGCTGCATCACCAGGGGAGGCCCTTAACTCATCTTTTTAAAGCTTAAATGCTTTAGCCTTATTGTGAGCTATAGTTTATAGTTATGAAATCATGTGTGCAATGTACTAAATACATATTAAAATATATGCATAACTATTAAGTAAAAATGGACAGAATATACAGTTTAAAAGAGATTTAAGTCACATAACAACTTTTTGCTTTGGATGGACCTTATCTGGATTCAAATTTGACAAACTAATGAAAAAGAATATCTAGAAACAATCAGGATTATGTGAACACTCACTGAATGTTTGATGATATTAAGAAATGACCATAAATTTTTTAAGTGTGATTGTGGTGGTATGGTTATACTTCTTAAAAATTTTATGAATAGAATTGTGTATGGGATTTCATTCAGAATAATGGTATGGATCCTGAGAGGGTATGGATGATTTTCATTATGCTATTCCTGCTTTTATTTGTGTTTGAAACTTTCATTTTTAAAAAGATAGAAAGGAAGGGCCTCCCCTGGGGGTGCAGCGGTTGAGCACTGGGCTGCAAAGCTGCCGGCAGCCTCTGCAGTGCTGGTTCGATCCCTGGCCACCGGCGAGGGTCCCACATGGCGCACAGACCTCTCCTGCTGCCCGCTGCTCCCCTCAGCAGTGTACTTCGTCAGTCTGCCTGTTCTGTTCCCCGCTCTGGCTCTGGTGAATTCTCTCACCCTCCCGTACTTCTGACTGTACCCAGTGCTTGTATAAATAAATAAATAAATATTTAAAACAAAAAAAAAGATAGACAGGAAAATAAATTTGTTTATATATAACTGAATGTCATTTCTCATATCGTCAGTAGGATGCATACTATACTTAGGAAAACCCTAGTCTGCAAAATAATAGAATGAAATGATTTTTGTCAAATTATGCTTGATTTATGGACTTTGTTCTTTAAAAAAAAAAGAAAGAGTGGAGAGCAGAATAGGCAGATTGACTGAAACACACTGCTGAGGGGAGCAGGGGGTGAAACAGGAGAGGTCTGCTGTATCATGTGGGTTAGCTCCCTGACCGGGGATCTAACTCGTGCTACAGTGGCTGCGATTGCTTCTTGGTGCTGCGACTTAACCTCTTGCGTCACCAGGAAGGCCTTTGGACTTTGTACTTTTTTGAGAACCTGATGAAACTATATAGTATTTTTCCTTATAAAATATACTATATATAACTTGAAGTGAATTTCAATTTTATGGAAACCTAACAGTCATACGTAATTCTTCTAGAGCTGTAATTCTCTAAGTGGGGTGCCCTGATCATCAAACATCACTTGAGAATATATGTTAGAAATGCATATTCTTGGGCTCTCTACCCTAAACCTACTAAATCAAAATCTTTGGAGGTAGTACTCAGAATCTGTGTTTTAAAATCCCTCTGAATGATTTCCATGAACACCAAAGTTTGAGAACCACTGCTATACATATTAATCACATGAGAGCTTATTAAAATGAAGTATTTCAGTATAGTATGTCTGCTGTGGGCCTGAGTTTCAGATTTCTAATAAGTACTCAAGGATGATGATGTACTCAGACCATAGTAGTATCCGTGTTGTAGATCAGTAGCTTACAAAAGTTTTAAGCCTGACATCTTTATTAGAAAATTGTCTATTTAAAATGATGTAAGAGGGCCTTCCTGGTGACGCAAGGTGTTAAGACGCAACCTATGAAGCTATCCGCAGCCACTGCAGCACAAGTTTGATCCTGGCCAGGGAGTTACCCACATGGTGCAGCCAACCTCTCCTGACTTGCCCGCTGTTCCCCTCAGCAGTGTATTTTAGTCATTCTGTCTGTTCTGCTCCCCACTCTGTCTCTGGTGAATCCTCTTATCCCCCACACCATCGGCCTACACGCCAGTTGTTGTGTGCATAAATAAATTAAAAAAATAAATATTTAAAAAAAGGTTATCCTCTGGACCCAAGTTTAGGAACCCTTTTTCTGTTTTAAGAAGTTTTGTTTTGGGCCTCCCTGTTGGTGCAAGGGGTTAATTACCACACTGTGAAGCAATCAACATCCTCTGTAGAATGAGCTTCATCCCCAGCTGGCCAAGGAGCAACACACATGGCGTGGCAGACCTCTCCTGTCTCGCCTGCTGCTCCCCTCAGCAGTGTACTTCAGTCAGTCTGCCTGTTCCGTTCCCCACTCTGTCTGTGGTGGACCCCACCCCCACCCCGCATCTCTGGCCTGTGCCCCAGCTCTTGTATGTAAAGATAAATAAATCTTTAAAAAAAAAAGTTTTGTTGTTTTAAGGACTCCCTCTTCTCTTCCCTCATCTTTTCAGATATGTATTCCCAAATATTTACTCCTAGTCTGTATCTTTCTTTTCATTTTTTGTAACTGTCTCTCAAAGAGTATTTTTTAAAAAAATATTTTATTTATACATATAAGAACTGGGGTATAGGCCAGAGGTGAGGGGGTGGGATGATTCACCCAGTGACAGACAGGGGAGCAGAACTGGCAGATCTACTGAAATACACTGCTGAGTGTACTGAAATACACTGCAGTGGGCTAGACAGGCGAGGTCTACTGCACCATATGTGGGTTAGTTCCCTGGACGGCTTCGAACTCATGCTGCAGTGGCTGGTGATAGCATAATGGTGCTGACTCTTAACTCCTGCCCCACCAGGGAGGCCCTGAAAGATTATCTTTTCTACATTGTATAATTTTGACAGGTATGTCAAAAATCACATGAACAATATGGAATCTATTTCTGGACTTTGTTTACTGATCTTACTTCATTAGAGTAATTTGAAACTATATCACATAGCGTGAGTCTTCCAACTTTGGGTTTTTTTGCTTGTTTGTTTTTTATATTTTAAAAGGGCAGGTTTATTAGGAAAGAGGGAAAGGAAAAAGAGAGATACCTGTGTAGTCACAAGATGGACAGTCTTGGGATGAGAGCTGCCAGGTCTTCCAATCTTGTTCTTCCCATGTCTCAAACTCATTCTTAGAGTATCATAAAGGTATTATGTTACTAGTCAAAGAATAAATCTTGTACTTTAAATATTTGTATGTGGAACAATTTGAACTTTGATATATTTCTAGGTATGTTGCAGGAAAAGCTTTTTATTGAACATAACTTAAGAATTATGCCCCTAAATAATTTCTTTTCTTCCTTTCTTAGGGATGATAGAAACAGCACAAGTGGATGAGAGGGCAAAAGGCAATGGCTCCAGTCAGCCAGGAGCTGCAAGGAGAGGTGTACAGATTATTGATGATGAACCTCAAACCCAGAGCAGTGGTGGAGGTTGCTGTTCTTCTGGATAACTGTTCACACCTAAGAAATTAAAAAAACAAACTGTGGATCATTGCCCTCAACATGAAGACTGCCATATTCCAAGTCACGTTATTTTACCAATGGAATTATAGGATTAACAGTATTTTAAATTACGTTTATAACACTGCAGAGACCTTAAGTGCTAAACTTAGTGGAGTTTGTGACCAGAGAATTGGCATTTTCTACAAATGTTAACAAAGCAATTACCAATGGCCTTTTTACATATTTTTTCTTTAATAAGGAATAATATGCATGTAGAAAAGACCTACTTAAAGGCTTCATTTATATTCTTTTAAATCAAATCTTTATTTAATAACTTATATATGTTGTTGGAATGATATACATTTTTGCAGCCCTTTGTATTTTGTGGTAGTTTGAATTGTATCACTTCTAAATAGCAGACTTTTTGTTTTGTTTTTTTAATTAGCAGATACCTGAAGTACTATTTTTGCAGGGTTTGCACAGGCCCCTAACTGTCTACTACTTTGATATAATCTATATACATCCTGTATGCTGAGCTGGTAAAATACATTGTACATTACACATTAAATATTTTATCTGCTTTTATAAGCGCAAGGTGCAAAAATATATACAATAGTCTCATTGATAACTGTAAAGTGAATTAACATTTGGTGATAATGCCTAAGCTTTTTGACTCTGTTATAAAGATCATAGTTACCTTTCACTTTTGTCTTAACTTGAAAGTGATGTGTTTAAATTTTCACATATACATTACTTGAATTATTGCTGTTGTCACATTTTTTTTTTTTTTTGCCTAAGTCCATCTGATGATCGAACCTCAGCACTTGCCTTTGTATGTTTTGTTTTGTTTTGTTTTTGATAAAAGAGATGCCTTCTCAATTTTCCTTTAGGGTGGTTCCCTTAGATTGTTTGAGTGGAGCATGTTGGGTTTCACTTTTGCAACGGTTTGGGTTTTCTCTTCCTTTATGTGAGTGAGATGGGTTTGCTGGTGTGAGAAGAGAGGAAGTGGGTCCCGGGTAGTAGCCACTCACCAGTACTCATTCACACAGCATGTTGATGTTAGTTTATGCTCCTGAGGCAACTTTTAGATGCTTTGTCAGCAAGTTGTATTTGTTCATTACTTGCCAGAGCTAAACACAGAAAGCTTTGTTCATTTTTACAAACTATCCTAAGTTTCTGTGAGGGAAAATATTTCATGTAATGCAGTTATAGTGAACACTGGAAAGATTTGTTATAAAATTATATTCTTGTATACTTTGTAAATTAGTCTCATTAGGGTTTTTTTTTTTTTCATAAACATAGAACTTAAATTTGTTTATTTTAATAGAATCAGGCACTGCTCACAGAAAGAACACAAATTGTGGAAATCAATATAAATTGTTCTTCTTATATATATTTTTCCATTTCTGTCATGCTTGGAAAACTAGTAAATGTTATGTCTAATATAAAATGGAATGGTTCCTGGATTTGCTTCTTATTAGAAACAGTAGTATGCAATAAAGCTATTAGCATGAGCAGTTAAGAGGCAATGGGTAGATAATAGTTACTAAAGTAGAATCACCATATTTTTAAGTTAATAGCTTAAACTTTCCCAAATGGGTTAAAAATTGAATGAACTGATAATTTGATATTATGATACTGGAATTTTAACTTAGTAGTAGGTATTTTCTGAGCCTTCCCTTAACCTTCTTTAATTGCCCTTGCCAAACTCAACCATTGGCCTCTGTGTGTGTTGGGGAGTGTGGGGTGGGAAGAGTCTGAGAGATAAACTAAAATTGTCTTTAATAGGATGACTATACTCTGTAGTTACTTGGTTTCCTGTTTATGTGAGGGTTTGGAAAGAGGAAAACGGAATCATGAGTACAGGAATCACGATGCAGGAAAAATTGCTTTTGCCCTCTTGGTTCTTTCTGAGGTTGTAGAGGAAGCCTTGTCATTTCTACTCTTGTAGTTATATCCAAGAAACAAGCTCCTGTTCTTTGAATGAAATATATTTTTAAACTAGTTAGAGATGAAAAATTGAGCTTTATTCCCAAAAACAATGTTAGAAAGTCTGATGATTGGAGACCTATATACTCTTAATAGTAATGATACAGAGTCCAGATTGAAACCTCTGTTCCAGCAATGCCAGATAATTATTGTTGGGGTTCAACCACTCTATTGTTATTTAAACATGCTCCTTTGGTTTCTGTATATCTTTCTTAAGCAAACACTTCATTCCTTTTTTTCTAACCTGTTAATTCAATAGCAATAGATAATGTCTTTGCTTTGAAGCCTAAAATGTCTTTAGGGCAAGGAATAGGGTGGAAGAGGAGTAATGGCTTGTACTATGAATACAAAGGAAAGATAGAGATAAGAAGCAAGGTTGAGAAAATTTTCCCAATACATTCATAACATCTTTAATGTTTTTTTGTATTCCTGTCCTTACAATTGTACTATTAGGAAGAAGATACAAGTTAATCATGTGTTGTATGTTGAAAGTAATAGGTAGGTAGAACCAAGATATTTTCAACTAGTAAGTACATACACTTAGTGTATATAATTAAAAAATGTTTCAAGATCGTCATTCAAAAAGTATCTGAATACTTTTATCATGATAAAAGTATAGTCATTGTTGCTACAATGATGATGGGTATTCATGTTTTGTTTAGTGGTCATAGAGGAAGATTGTTTTTAAAAATCATTGCAACAATTTTGGGGTAAATGAAAAAAGCTTCATACTATCATGAAATATGAGTGTTTAAAATTTGACTTGTTTTGAGGATATCTCCTAAAAATACCTTAAAGCTATGAATGTTACAGCTAAATTGAAATCTTAAAAATCTTATGGCTACTGTAGGCTAGCCATACAGTATTTGTGATCTTTATTTGATGTTAAAGTAATAAAAAAGAATGATATTTCATCTTCAGATTTTCGGTAAGAAAAAATTGGGGGACAACTGAGGTGTAGAATGAAAATTATCTACATCCTGACAATTTTTAAAGTCATTTTGAAACATACATTTATCAAAGTTTCTAAATTGGCAAGCTATGTATTGTGCCAAATATTTAGAACAATTTAAACAATAAATTTACACCTTTTATTTCTGTTAATATATAATTTGCAGTTCTATATTATAAATGCTATTTGGAGTCTAGATCATCTTATCTCCAGCGAATTTAGTTTACCCTTATAAATTACCACTTACATTATCTTTAGAAGTGGTTGCATCTGTGCCTTTAACTTTTGAAATTCATGATTTGCCTTCTTTTTATCATTATCATTTTTTCACAATTTATAGATAACACTGTGACAAAGAGGAAATACTTTGTGACAATTTAAGATGTTGAGATCTTCTAGAAAAGGGGGTAGATAGTAGTCAACAAAAGGAGCCTTACAATAATGTTAAAGATACAGATTGAGTAGATCCTTAAATAATTTTTCTAAATTACAAAATACAGTACCTAGATTTTAATAATTCAAGGCTGGAATTCATTGAACATACACATTTAGCTGATTTTGATAATGGCATTGATTGTAGTAGATTGTTCTGTAATTTTGAGTCAACTAAGTAATAATAAGTTTGATGTGGGAAAAAATTCGTGCTACACATGTGGCATATTGTGTGACTTTGATGGCCTTTACCTTTTTAGGAAAACACATTAGTCACAATTCTGAGTAAATATTCCTAAATGTAAGTATTTTAGTATTAATCATGTAAAAATATTACAGATACTCTTCAAGCATTTCTAATTTCATGTAAAATATACTTCCCTTCTAAACACATATCCCTTTAATTTGATAGATGGTTAGCACTGCTTGTGCTATTCAGGATATGTAGAACATCTCTTTTCTGAGAAACTGGGTGTACTTTTGAGTGTTAACCTTTCAACTGCAACATTTTTCTGCATTAAATGAACATGGCACACCTAGCAAGAATCTTTTTTTTTTTTTTTTAGATTATTTATTTATTTATACAAGCACTGGGTACAGTCAGAAGTGTGGGAGGGTGAGAGAATTCACCAGAGCCAGAGCAGGGAGCAGAGCAGGCAGAGTGACAAAATACACTGCTGAGGGGAGCAGCGGGCAGCAGGAGAGGTCTGTCGCGCCATGTGGGACTTTCACCGGGGGTCAGGGATTGAACCGTTGCTGCGGAGCCTGCGGGCAGCTTTGCAGCCCAGCGCTCAACCGCTGTGCCACCAGGGGAGGCCCAAGAATCTTATTCTTAAAAAGCATCTTGTCCTCTTCAGAAGCCTGGACATACTTCCAAATATACCACATTAAAGCCAGAAAGTGAGTCTGCCTTCTTAAATCTTTATTTTCACTGTATATCTGTTTGCACTTTATGATACCTTGTGGTAACTCTATTTCTTCATTATCAAGAAAAAGCTATTATGATTTCAATAAGTTCAAATTTGTGTAGAACAATGAGATAGGAAGACTAGCAGGGATAAAGTATGATAATGGACAACAGTGGTATTTGTTATATTGTATCTTCATTACTAACTTAAGGATTTAACATTTTTACATAAATTATGTCTTACCATGCTTGTTTTTCAACTTTTTTACCAACATGTCTAGAAATTCATGTTAGTATATGCAGGCTTTTTCATTTTGTTTTCCTCCACATTTTGGGGTGTGTTTGCCTTTTTAAAGTAACCTTTGATTTTTCCATTAAACCCTCCTAAAGAAACCTGGCGAATTGGGTAGATTTCACTAGAATCATAAAATTTAAATTCAAGCCACTGCTCATCTTAGACATAAACAGTCTCCGTTAAGCATATTAATCACGAAACTAGAAAGACTTATGTTTACAATTTGCTAGAATTTCATGTTTTGGGCCTTCTATGATTGATTAATACATGAAATTCATGAGTTAGTTTTAGTAGTAGAGTATTTAGAATAGGTTTTTATTTGAGGGAAGAAGAAAAGAGGGAAAGTATAGCGCTAGGGGAAGAGTACAAGGTAAACTAAAATAAGTGTGCATCTCCAACTAGCTATATAACACAAGGCTTCATGCGGTCTGAAAGTTAAAACTTGTGTTTGATTTATGTCTTTAATTACAGTAAAAAATGAAAGTCTGATTTTAGATCTTCCCCAACCATCTCACATCCCACATGAGAGGTAACCACTGTTAACAATTTGTATGTCTCTGGGCCTCCCTAGTGGCGCAGCGGTTGAGCGCTGGGTTGCGAAGCTGCCCGAAGCCTCTGCAGCGCCGGTTCGATCCCCGGCTGCTTCCCAGCCACCGGAGGAGGGTCCCACATGGCGTGCAGACCTCTCCTGCCGCCCACTGCTCCCCTCAGCAGTGTGCTTCGGTCCTTCTGCCTGCTCTGCTCCCCACTCTGGCTCTGGTGAATTCTCTCACCCTCGCGCGCTTCTGACTGTACCCAGTGCATGTATAAATAAATAAATAAATCTTTAAAAAAAAAAACCTTAAAAAAATTTGTATGTCTCTGTTACATATTTTAATTTATATTTGTCCTTCATAAATTTTCAGTTCCTTGAAAACAACTCACCTATCCTGTGTCAAATTCCATCTACAACCAATCGAACAACTTGTAAAGAAACCCTAATGATACTTATATAAAGTTAAGTCAGTGGCAATATTTCTTGAACTACAAGTTAACTACCTGAAACTTAGAATGTTTTATGTTTATTATAAATTAATCTTTAAAGTGTGGAGCATTCTGGAAGTCAAATCCAGTGAATGGTTTCCATCCCTGTGGAACTATGGTTGGGAAAGAGGAGTGTGCCAATTCAAGCTCCTTAATGCCTGTGTTGTTCTGGGTTGGGTTCATTCTCTACACATATTTTCCAGCTTGGAAAGCATTGCCGCCAGGAGCACTTAAGGGCTGTAGCTTACCATGTGAGTGCCTTTGTAACAGGGTGGTCCCCAGGAAAGGGGGAGGTTCCCTGCCCCACCCAAGGGAGGGTGGAGCTGAGCAGGAGGAGGAGAAGCTGCAGAAGAGACTGAGGAAGGAAGCAGGATGGAGCCAGGAGACCTGGAGGAGGCGCATGGAGCCTAGAGACACGTGAAGAAACTGCGCTTGTCTTTTGGTCCTAGACTGGGTGACACAGATGTGGGTGAGACCCATGGGGAGGTGACAATGGCAGTTTTTATCTTGATGTTGATTTTGCTCTTTTCCTTCCGGTCTTGTCTGGTTATTTCTGACCCTTTGCTGTGGGTCCCCACTGGAAGATGCTTTAGACTTGTGGCAGGCTTTGGGGCTTTGCTCTGGGCCAATCCCATTTGGATGGACTTTTATCCACGAGGGGACGGGTAACTTTGGGTGCTTCATTTAGAAACTAGACTCTTTGCCTTACCTGTATTGTTTCCTAGTTTTATTAAAGTTCCTTCCCATTAAAGTCTCATATGTTTTGTGTTGATGCGGCGGATGGCAGAACCCATTTAGAATAGGCAGGTTTGCGGGGTTTGGGCTGCCCCTCTCCCTGTCCTATAACACCTTGACACCAAGTTAAAGGTGTATTCCCTAGAACACATTAATTTGTTTTTGAATAAACATATTTTTCGTGTTTGTCTTTTAATGAATAGTCAGAGGACAAGTTAAGTACAAGCTTGTGATTTTGTTAATAGTTTCCACATGTTCTTAAAAAAATTTTTTTGAACACATTCTGCTTATTATAATTGTTCTCTAAGTTCCTCTCAATTTCATTTTTTGAGTGCCTGTGGTGTGCCCAGTGCACGTAGGTTAAGGGAAGGAACCAACCTATTTGTAGATGACAAACTGATGACCATCACTCACAGTCCAGATATGAGTACTTTATCTGTGTGTATGAGGTCAACCATGCATAAATGTTGACATTCTGTATTTGACCAGAAACCCAAGTACACTAAACTTTTGGGGTGAAGTAATTAGGATGGCAGCAACTGAAGCTGATCATTAATTTGAGGTAAAGCTGAAGGATGATTTTGAGTATTGCAACAAATATTTTCAGGCCAGATTAAAATAACTTGTTTTTTAGCTTCAAGGGGCAGTTGTGATCTGCAAATCATATTTTTCAAATTTTGTAGTAGCGATGAAGAAACAGATGCCTTTTGCTTAGACAACTGCTTTTTTTTTAACTTAGAAAAAATGCATTTTAAAAGCAATTGTATTTTTTTTTCCCTTTGACAAATGTTGCCTTGTTGCCAGACAGTAACCCAGAACACAATCCATTCCTGAATCATTATAGTCCTTTCTAGAGAGTGTAACTTTATAATTTGCATTTGTAAGTGTACATTCCAACTTGGGAGTAAGGGTTTTGGTTTATTTGGTCTGTCTGTGGAATTGAAGACGAGATAGTCTGATAATTTAATGATTATGTATATTTTCAGGCAATCTTTCTAGTGACTTTTAGGCTATTTTTGATACTATCATGTATTATTCAAGTTAATGCTATTATAGGTCTTCTTGACCTGACCCTTTTGAGGAGAAAATAGTGAAATCACTGGCTATTAAAAAATTTCTCCATGAGTCAGATATTTATCTGTTTATCTATTTTTTTAATCCACAAAAGGTAAGTAAATCTAATGACTTAGGAACAGTTCTTCAAAATGAAAAACCCAGTAAAGAAAAAACTATAAAGCAAGAACAAGATGCTTTAAGGATTTTTGATGGTCTCCTGAATGACAAAATTATTCTTATCCCAAAATTATACAATGTAAGTTCCCATCCCCATATTGAATCCCATATTGATGTTTTTAAACCCAAATATGTTCTTTGCTAAAGAATCAGCATGAATAGTTCCTGCCCAACAAAAAAAAATTTTAAATCCAGTGGTGGTGGCCTCAGAAGTTTATAAAGGTCATAATGTTGGATGAATCATATGAAATGATCAGAATGGCATTATTAATTTGCTGACTACTTATCAGTATATTGCCTTGAGGTTGTTAATTGACAGTCCTAATTCCTCTATATTGGTTCGCTGCTCTCTCAGGACTAAAGCTGTGCTGCTACTCTTCCATCAAAAAATTTTAAAATTAACTGTACATAGAATTTGCAAAGTAATCACCATGTATAAGCAGTTCTCATCTCTGGAATATTTGATAGGGATATGATTATTTAAAAATTGAGGATTTCCTTAAATGCAGAACTAAGATCTGAAGCTTAAGAGTGCCATTTTGATGGAGAGTTCCAGTCAAGCTGGTAAGTGACTTATTTTTCCTTTTCTATTGATAGTGAATCTTAGCAATATGACTATATAACTAGAGAACCAAAATTGGCAGGATTTGTGATTCAAAATATTAATAGCTAAGAATTTAAAAATGCCATTTAAAAATATATTGTCAGGGCCTCTCTGGTGGTGCAGGGGTTAAAGCCTCAGCACTATTGGGCCTCCATGGTGGCACAAGGTGTTATGTCTCAACACTAGGAAGCTGTCACTGCAGCCACTGCAGCATAAGTTCAATCTCCAGCCAGAGAGCTAACCCACATGGCGCAGCAGACCTCTCCTGTCTTGTCTGCTGCTCCCCTCAACAGTGTATTTCATTATATTTGCCTGTTCTGCCCCCCACTCGGTCTCTGATGAATCCTCTCACCCTCCACACCTCTGGCCTACACCCCAGTTCTTGTATGCATAAATAAATCTTTAAAAAATACATAAAGGGGGCCTCCCCAGTGGCGCAGCGGGTTAAGCACTGCTGTGAAGCTGTCTGTAGCCTCTGCAGTGCTGGTTCGGTCCCCGCTGGCCTCGCAGCAACCCACATGGCAAGAGGACTTCTCCTATCTCGTCTGCTGCTCCCTTCAGCGGTGTATTTTGTCAGTCTGCCTGTTCTGCTCCCCGCTCTGTCTCTAGTGAATCCTCTCGCCCTCCTGCGCCTCTGGCCTGTACCCCAGCTCTTGTATAAAAAATAAATCTTTAAAAAAAATAAAAATTAAAAAATATATAAAAATAAATTGTCAAACGTCACAGTATTTGTAGTGGTACTAAAAAGTAGTAGCTATAAGCCAAATACTGCTTAAAAAAAAATAAAAGCTTGTATTTAATTATGATGAAGTTTGGGGATGTCCCTGGCTTAGTAATGCCTTATGATGATATTATTTAAAGTTAGCTTTAACCTTTTTTTAGGGAAGTTTAAAATAGGTTTTATGATCTTTAGTTCCTAAGGTTACTAAAATCTTTCAGAATTGACTGTTCCCCCAGACCCTTCAAAGAAGGCTGCCTTTCTCTGTGATCATTAAATTATATAGAAATTTCAAAAAAAAAAAAAATTTCCAGCTACTTGGCCCTTACCTGAAGAATTATGAATTTCTCATATGCCACAATTTTTGTTAATGCTTTCCTTGAATTTCCTTACTATCTCTGCCCTGTTTTGAAAGCGGATGAAGGTATTTTTTTGTTCTTTTGGAAACATTCAGGCAATTGGAAATGTTTATCACTATTCTTACCTTTGTGTTGAAAAGTGGGTAGAAGTTAGGTTCCAAAATTCTTAATTTCCAATAGAATTTTTAATGTATATTAAATTTTTTAGTTTCTTGATTTATTCAAGGTAATTTTACTGGGGGCCTCCCTGGTGGCACAAGGAGTTAAGTCTCAGCACTGTCAAGCTGTCATCGGCCACTGCAGCCTGAGTTCAATCCCTAGCCAGGGAGCTGATCCACATGGCACAATAGACCTCTCCTGACTCGCCCACTGCTCCCCTCGCAGTTTATTTCAGTAAATCTGCCTGTTTTGCTCCTCACTCTGTCACTACTGAATTCTCTCATCCTCAGCACCTCTGGCCTACACCCCAATTCTTGTATGCATAAATAAACAAAAATAAATCTTTTAAAAAAGATAATTTTGCTGCTTTGGTTTTATTTTCTGGTTCCTTTGCAATTAAAAATTGCACATGCCATTTACTTGTAATTATTTCAATACATTTAATAGGATGCTTTAATCAACCCTTACATTTATTAGCTCAAATGAACTTTTATACCATTTTCACGTACATACCATGAAATGCTGAAAGGAACCTGATTGCCTTAAAGGGCACCTCAACTTAGAATTAAGCAACAAATGGCCATTAAAAGAAACAATAAGATAACCTTTAGTCATAAACTCATGTTGTCTTATAGATCAACCATATAGATACACACTTATTCATCCAAATAAATAATTAAACCTGATTTCACATATTTCATTTGAGTATCATGGTTGGAATTCTCATCCTGGTGTTACTCTCATCCTTTGATGATAATATTAAAATACACATTTGAAAATTTAGATCTCATTTTTTGAGAGTTGGGAATGTGATAAGCATATGGTCAATATTAGGTCTAAGATATGATAAGGTCCTACATAAGATGCAAGAAAAGCTAGTTATTGAAATTACTGAAACAAGTTATTGAAAGGACCTCAGCTTGAGGTTTGAGAAGAGTTTTAGAGTTAGGCCAAGGGAGTGTCCTTTGGCCCTGTAA